GAAGGCCGAAACTAACCTCAGTTTCCCCAAGGGAATCTCATCTGATTCTCTATGAGCGGCTATAGCTGCGACATATACTCTGAGAGTGGTAGCAGCCGCTCCGGTAGCAAACTTTTCCTGCAGGAATTCCAGCACTGAGCCTACTGGGCAGCTAACTGGGTTCCTATCATGTGCTAAGCACCATGCCTCGAACACCCTCCACTTGGAGGAATATAGCCTCCTCGTCAAAGGGGCTCTAGCACTCGCAATGGTCTCCTGAACGTCGGTTGGGAGATCAAAGCTTAAAGCTAACGGCCTCTGATAGGCCAAACGTACAGCTTCCAAATGTCGGGGCGAGGATGCCATATCCTGCCCTGAAGCTGGGAAAGCAGGTCCTCCCTGACCGGGATCTCCCAGGGGGAGGATTCCAACAGAGGGATCAGCTCCGAAAACCATGGCTGGGACGGCCAGAATGGGGCTACCAGAAGGAGGCGGACTCCGCTCTCCCTCACTCTGGACAGAACCGCCTGGATCAGCTTGATGGGCGGGAAGGCATAGAGTTTCTGCCTCGGCCAAGGGTGGGCGAACGCATCTATCCCCAACGGAGCTGGAGGGCTCAGAGAGAACCAAAGCGGGCATTGGGACGACTCCTGAGATGCAAAGAGGTCCACTTCCGCTTTCCCGAACACCTCCCAGATCAGGGCCACCGTCTGGCGGTTCAACATCCATTCCCCAGACCTGAGCTTCTGCCTCGACAGGAAATCTGCTGCGAGGTTCAGAATCCCTGGGACATGAACTGCTCTCAGAGAGAGGAACTTGTCCTGGGACCACAGGAGAAGGTGACGCGCATGCCTGTCTAGGGTGCGCGATCGTGAACCCCCCTGTCTGTTTACATGGGACACTACTGCCATATTGTCCGTTCTGACAATGACATGGTGTCCTTCGAGGAAAGGGAGAAAGTGGCAAAGAGCCAGGAAGACAGCCCTCAGCTCCAAGCTGTTTATGTGCCACGAGAGGGTCTCGCCAGTCCAAACCCCACACGCTGGCCTGCCCTCGAAAACCGCTCCCCAGCCGGTCAGAGAGGCATCCGTCGTAACCATCTGGCGACGGAATACCGCACCCATACCAACTCCTTTCTGAAGGAAGAGGGGGTCCCGCCAGATTGACAGGGCGCGAAAGCAACTGCGCGGCACCTTCAATAGGCGAAGGGCTGGCCCCGTGGGCCGAGCCCCTGAGAGCTTCATCCACCACAGAAAAGGTCTCATGTGGAGTAGCCCTAGAGGTAGAACAGGGGAGGCCGCGGCCATAAGGCCCAGAAGTCTGCGGCAGGTGCTCACGGAAACATGCTAGCCTAGCGCAAAGCGGGACAGACATGTCACCAGACTGGAAATCCGTGCAGGAGCCAAACGAGTCCATGCGTACCCCCAAGAAAACCGTGCTCTGAGCTGGAGTAAGAACGCTCTTCTCCGTATTCAACCTCAAACCGAGAGACTGAATATGACGGAGGACAATGTCCCTGTGTTGAGTCACCAACTCTCTGGAGTGGGCTAAAAGGAGCCAATCGTCCAGGTAGTTGAGTATATGGATGCCCTGGAGCCGCAGCGGGGCCAGAGCAGCATCCATACACTTTGTGAACGTCCTTGGCGCTAGAGCGAGGCCAAAGGGGAGGACCCTGTACTGGTACGCTTTTTCTCCAAAGGCGAACCTGAGAAACTTCCTGTGTCGCCGTACGACCTGGATGTGAAAATAAGCATCCTTGAGGTCTACTGTCACAAACCAGTCCCCCAGCTGGATATGAGATATGATGGCCTTCAGCGTCAACATTTTGAATTTCCCTTTGTAAAGAGAGAAATTCAACCGGCGAAGATCTAGTATCGGCCGCAGGCCGCCTCCCTTCTTCGGGACCAGGAAGTAACGGCTGTAGAAGCCCTGTTCGACTTCCCCCGAAGGAATCTCTTCTATCGCCCCCTTCAGCAGAAGGGATGAAATCTCCTGTTGTAGTACAGAAGCCTGAGCGGCGCTGTCGACTACAGTAGGAAAGACCCCGTTGAAGCAGGGGGGGTTGCGACAAAACTGAAGCGTGTAGCCGAGCCGAACTGTGCGAAGGATCCAAGGCGATACCCCTGGTAAACGCTCCCATTCTTGAACGAAATGTGATAGAGGGGGAGGAGTGTTGCAGTGCAAGGGACATACCTGAGGTAGAGTGTCGCGCTGGTTCCCATGGGGAGGCGTGTTTGACCGTGGAGGAGAGCGCTTGGCGTCCTGACACGTACTGGTGGGTACCACCACCTGGATAGAAGTAACTGGGTCCGCCTGCTCCAGAGGAAAACGAACTGTGCCTCCGAGGAAGCGATTGGCGGGTGTAACGTGCACCGGGAGCGAGGGGAGAAAGCAAGACGCGTCTCCTTCCTCCTGCGCCGGACTGGGTGAAGAGTGTGAAACAGGACCTGCACTTCGAAACACGCTGGGTGGCGAAGGTGACAGGGTTAGATGAGGAGAGCCGGTTGGAGGAGGGCAGAAACGCTTGCACGGTCTGTCCCAACCTCGTAGATCTGGTGAGGCTCTCCTCCTTCTGACCTGCGGGTCAGGAATGGCTCGAGGAGGCTGGTGCGGCCGATTTGTTGGACAGCTTCAGCTGAAGGCGCTTGTGAGGGCGCTGGCGGGGAAACGGACGACCTCGGGCTCCCCAGACCGTAGTTGGTGGGTGGTGAGCCGGGTCACTCCTGCTAGTAGGGAATTCAGCCCTATGAGCAGAGCGTTCTCGGGTTTGAGAAGGGGGAGGGTTGGAGTCTCTGAAGGAAGAGGGGGCTCTAACCCTCCTGGGCATAAACTGCCTGAACGCGGCCGACTGGGACTTAGCGGCACGGAACTTCTCAACCACCGCGTTGACCGCCTCCCCGAAAAGACCTGAGTGGGAGATAGGGGCATCCAGGAGGAAACTCTTATCCTTGTCTCGGATCTCCATGAGATTCAACCAGAGGTGGCGCTCTGCAGCAACAGAGCCCGCCATAGAGCGACCTACAGCCCGAGCAGTGTGTTTGGTGGCTCTTAGGGCCAGATCTGTGGCTTTGCGAAGCTCTTTGACAGCTTCGGGCGTCAGTCCCTCTCCTTCATCCATGTCCTTCAAGACGTCCGCTTGGTAGGCTTGAAGGATGGCCATGGTATGCAGGGCCATGCCTGCTTGACCAGCCGCCATGTAAGACTTCCCAATAAGGGAGGAAGTAGTCCTACAAGCCTTGGAAGGAAGAAGGGGACGTGACTTCCAGGACGGTGCAGACGACGGGGCGAGGTGGTTAGCCAACGTGTCCTCGACCGCTGGAATAGCGGAATAACCCTGCTCCACAAAACCCACAAGGTTGGTGAAGTCAGCGGCTGCCGCATTAGTTAGGCGTGCGGAGAAAGGCTGCTTCCAGGATCTGGAGATCTCGTGATGCAGATCGCTGAAAAAGGGCAGCTTTCTTCGCTCTGGCCTAGAATTAGGGCCACGTAGGAACCTCTCGTCGAGTTTGGACGATTGAGACTCGCGGGGCTCATCAGGCCAGTCAATAGGGAGCTTCTCTGTAGCGCGCGACAGCACGTCAATAAGCTCAGTGTAGGCCGGAGTAGGCCGCGCGTCCTGGCCGCTAGGCGGGATAACGTCATCAGTCAAAGTAGGCCCGAAATCCTCGGAGTCGGAAGCTGCAGTGTAAATTACGTCATCCAGACCGAAAGAAACCGATTCGCGGGCTCCCGGGCTGGGGCATAAATAATCATGCGCGAATTCAACCGCGCCACGTGCGTGCTCGGGAGAGGGAGGGAGAGAAAGGGCGAGGCCCGTCTGCTCGTACTCAATATCCTCGAGCTCAACATCCGAGCCCCAGGCCGCGGATCCACGAGAGGCCTCAGCAGTCTCGGGAGCGCGACGGGGGGGAACGAATGACTCCTTCTCAAAACCGCGAGTCTAGAGCGGAGGGTTTTGAGAAGGAGATTGTCACAAAATTTACATTTTGACAATCCTAATACAGCCTCACGCGCATGCGAAAAACCCATACATTTAACACACTTACTGTGAGGGTCGTCGTTCGAGATAAAACGAATGCATGGCGGAGAGCAGCGTCGATAATCCATGACACTTCACTGTAAGGAGAACAGAGTTCCACTTATACCAGTCGCTGAAGTGTCGAGACGAAAGCTGTGGTTGAATTAGAAGAATTCGGGCTCAGAAAAACCGAACGAAGGGCAAGATGTGACCGCTTCGTGAAGGCAGAGAAATCTGAGAGGATGGCGCGCGCATCATTACGTCATCATGCTACGACGTAAGAGCGTCGGGGCGGAGCCAGCTTTGCGCGAGCGCCATCAGCCAATGAATTGGCGTGATTCTATAGGGCTTCAGGCAATCGGCACATCCAGAGGATATCCCACTGCGCTTTCCGCAGCGTTGAGTGAACCTATGAAAGAGAACGGCAAGAGGCCTTTCGGAAACACAAAAAATATACAGAGCACTACAATGTAAGGCCAGATAAAAAAAGAATGAGGGACTTGATGTATGACTGCAGAGTGCCTTTGAATGATAGTAATTATGTGTGTTTTTGTACTTGTGCAGATGGAGTTATGAAGTTCGACCAAACTGCTACGGAGGACTCCATTAGAACTTTCACCTCAGAACACCTTAAACACGCACCACAAAGAAGTGGAGGGTTCACTACTCCACATAGTCACTGATCATGTACACACGCATATATATATATATATATATATGAAGACAAGAGTTCAGATGCAAAAGCCTCTAAGTGCCATTTGAAATTTTCTTGTAGAATGATAATTTTTATCAAGCTTGTATATTTAAGTTCAGTAATTTCACTTAAATGGCAATGAAGATTACCTTGTCATTTAAGTGAAATTACTGAACTTAAATATACATGTGTCACACAGGTCGAGGGGAGGAATGCTCGGATGACCAACCACCCCCCCCTCTCTTACTGAGCCACCACCGTGAGGAGCCGACACCACAGGCACACAACAGAGGACTACGGAGACACAGGTAAGTTTCAAAGGAGGAACAATCTTTATTGAACAATAAAACAAGGGGCATCAATTGGATAGCCTTCACTGTCCTCTAGATATCCTTCTGCCACGGGCGGGCGTGTCGCAACTGTCACTGTGTCCCCTGGGCGGCAGTTTAGGGACTCCGTTCACCAGCGGTGCTGCAGACTTCCAGACTCAGATAGTGAGAATAACAGGTAAGGGTTATTCACAGTACACAGCTCTCCCTTCGGTTCACAGGGGGGCGAGCCAGTGGATCACTAGACGGCTTCACCAGCGATGCTGCATGCTTCTGGACTCAAACAGTAAGTAGAACAGGTAAGGATATTCACAGTACCGAGAACTCTCATCGGCGCACCGTAATGGAACAATGGTTTGAAAGCTTACTTTTTCCCAGCAGTGCTGCAGACTTCCGAACTCGGGCAATAAGTATAGCAGGTAAGGATTCTTCACAGTGCACGGTACTCTTCGGTCCACAGGAGGAAGACAGTGAGTTAAAGGTTTACTTCGCCCATGATGCTGCGTCCTTCTGGACTCAAACGGTAAGTAGAACAGGTGAGGATCTTCACAGTACAAAATACTCTCTTCAATGTACAGCAGGAAGACGATGGATTAAACAGGGTACTTTACCAGTGATGCTGCATGCCTCTGAACTCAACAGTAAGTGGAACAGGTGAGGATCTGCACAGTACTCTCTTCAATTCACAGTAAGGAGACAGTGGGTTAAAAGATCGTTTCTCCAGTGATGCGGTAGGCTTCTGGGCTCAAACAGTAAATAACAATTAAGGACCTTCACAGTACAGAGTACCCTCTTCAGTGCAGCTGTATCACACTGGACTTCCAATGGGGAGCAGATATAGTAACTTTCCACAAACGTGTAAATGGGGCTAGGGCCACTTCTCAGCAAAGGCACAGCACACTTGTGTTCACTTCAATTCCACAGCCACAAATCAATGTGTATCAATAAGGCAAAAGCACTGCAATTCACTCACACGTTAAGGCTGGTCAGAGGCCCCACTCCGTTTGTTGTGCTCGCTCCACGAGGGATTTCTCTTTCAATTCCTCCTCAACACACTCTGAAACACATAGCTCTTCCAACAATCAGATCCACATTTACTGCATCCTCTTCCAGCAATTTAAATACTCATAAGATGAAATCAGTTCACTTATCTCTTCTCTCTCCTTCCACAGCACCAATCCAGACGATAGCTCAGTCCAGCAGACTTCCCACAAACGATCACTCTGATCCAGCAAACTCGAATGGGCGACCTCCACACCCCAACGGTTTTCCTGAGGAAGCTTGTATCCAACACTGCTCCAAGTCAACCCTTTAGGCTCTTCAAACACTTCCAACTCACTGAGCACTTCAAACCCACTGAACACCGCTCAACACTCTCTGAATGGTCCCTTTTTATCCTGGCTTGCGTAACAGGAAGCCTGTGTGAGCGCCGCTTCTCTCTCTCTCGCACCTGCAATGCATTAGCGCTAATCAGTGCGGGCATGTTTACATCACCGGAGTGGGGCGTGTTACACACAATACCTTCCCCTGGGAAACCTAGGACTCTCAAGGGGGTTCCGCTTGCCGAGCGATTTTGTCACCCGTGACACAAGCTTGATAAAAATTATCATTCTACAAGAAAATTTAAAATGGCACTTAGAGGCTTTTGCATCTGAACTCTTGTCTTCATATATATATATATATATATATATATATATATATATATAATGACACACACACACACACAGCAGTCAGTTACTCAGTCACTCAACATTTGCGTCTTGTTTAGCACTTGTGTGATAGTTGTGTTTAACTGAAATTGTACAGATCATACAGTGATTTACAAAAAATAAAAATGAGTGGGGATTGAATTGATTTCTTAAACCTCTGTGCACAACTGTATGCCTATCCCTTTCCAGAGGGTGGAGGGCCTGTTTTCTGTACCAGTTAATTTCCCTGTAGCATTTGGCTCATAGGCAGGTTTGAACTGGAAATGGATGGATTAGGCTACATTGGAATGTGTTTCCAGTTATGTGGTGGAAAAGAAAGCAATCAAATGAAGCTACAGAAAAATGAACTGGAACAGTTAAAATGAGACAAAGGTTATGAACAGTACAGTATAAAAGCACTGTCTGCACAGGTCCTCTGGACGTTAATACAGGACGTTTGTTGGACGACTAAATAATCTGCACAGTCTGCACCTTTAAGGTATCAAAATGTGACGTCCACAATGACCACATTTGGAGTATAATTAGCCCTTATACAGAAATTATATGGACGTTAATACAGGACGTTTGTTGGACGACTAAATAAGACGTTGTTTGGCGTCACAGTCTGCACCTTTAAGGTATCAAAATGGGACGTCCACAATGACCACATTTGGAGTACAATTAGCCCTTACACAGAGGTCCTCTGGTCGTTAGTACAGGACGATCATTAGACGACAAAAAAAGACGTCGTCTGGCTTTACAGTCTGCACCCATAGGGAACCAAAATGAGACGTCCATAACGACCATATCTGGACTACATTTAGCCCTTAAACAGAAGTCCTGTGGAAGTCCATACAGGAAGTTCGGTAGACGTCGGAAAAATACGTTGATTGGCGTCACAGTCTGCACCCTCCTGATACCGACATAGGACGGACAAGCACACCGTTGAAACTACAACCCGAATTCCGGAAAAGTTGGGACGTTTTTTAAATTTGAATAAAATGAAAACTATAAGACTTTCAAATCACATGAGCCAATATTTTATTCACAATAGAACATAGATTCAGGTGGGAGAACATCTATCAACTAATTAAGTTCATTTATATCAGGTCTGTAACATGATTAGCTATAAAAGGGATGTCTTAGAGAGGTAGAGTCTCTCAGAAGTAAAGATGGGCAGAGGCTCTCCAATCTGTGAAAGAGTGCGTAAAAAGATTGTGGAACACTTTAAAAACAATGTTCCTCAACGTCAAATTGCAAAGGCTTTGCAAATCTCATCATCTACAGTGCACAACATCATCAAAAGATTCGGAGAAACTGGAGAAATCTCTGTGCGTAAGGGACAAGGCCGAAGACCTTTATTGGATGCCCGTGGTCTTCGGGCCCTCAGACGACACTGCATCACTCATCGGCATGATTGTGTGAATGACATTACTAAATGGGCCCAGGAATACTTCCAGAAACCACTGTTGGTAAACACAATCCGCCGTGCCATCTCCAGATGCCAACTAAAGCTCTATCATGCAAAAAGGAAGCCATATGTGAACATGGTCCAGAAGCGCCGTCGTGTCCTGTGGGCCAAGGCTCATTTAAAATGGACTATTTCAAAGTGGAAAAGTATTCTATGGTCCGACGAGTCCAAATTTGACATTCTTGTTGGAAATCACGGACGCCGTGTCCTCCGGGCAAAAGAAGAGGGAGACCTTCCATCGTGTTATCAGCGTTCAGTTCAAAAGCCAGCATCTCTGATGGTATGGGGGTGTATAAGTGCAGGTATGGTATGGGGGTGTATAAGGGCAGGTATGGGCAGCTTGCATGTTTTGGAAGGCACTATGAATGCTGAAAGCTATATAAAGGTTTTAGAGCAACATATGCTCCCCTCCAGACGACGTCTATTTCAGGGAAGGCCTTGTGTATTTCAGCAGGACAATGCAAAACCACATACTGCAGCTATTACAGCTGCATGGCTACATCGTAGAAGAGTCCGGGTGTTGAATTGGCCTGCCTGCAGTCCAGATCTTTCACCTATAGAGAACATTTGGCGCATCATTAAACGAAAAATGCGTCAAAGACGACCACGAACACTTCAGCAGCTGGAAACCTATATAAGGCTAGAATGGGACCAAATTCCAACACCAAAACTCCAGACACTCATAAACTCGATGCCCAGACGTCTTCAAACTGTTTTGAAAAGAAGAGGAGATGTTACACCATGGTAAACGTGCCCCCGTCCCAACTATTTTGAGACCTGTAGCAGGCATCAAATTTGAAATGGGCTCATTTATTGAAAAAAGTGTAAATTTTCTCAGTTTAAACATTTGTTATGTTATCTATGTTCTATTGTGAATAAAATATTGGCTCATGTGATTTGAAAGTCGTATAGTTTATATTTTATTCAAATTTAAAAAACGTCCCAACTTTTCCGGAATTCGGGTTGTACGTCATCTGGAGGAAACTTTGCGCAGTGGGCTGTCAGTAGCGCCAGTGGCGCAAAAAGTGGGTATGCGCTATATGCGGCGCATAGGGGCACAGCACCATGAGGGGCGCCAAAGCGATGGTAAAATTGTTTTAATTTAAATTTAATTAACAAAAAAAAAAATATATATATATTGTACTTTCTATATGTAGCTGCTGTTGTGCGTTTCTAAATCATTTCTGCATTTATTCTATGTTATATAAAATTTTAGAGGACTAACAGGCTAGACTAGAGTAGGCGCCCTCATGGAGAAGGGGGGCGGGGTAATAATATCGCGAGCGGGTGGGGGCGCCGTGAGCGCTGAGCGAGTAGGTACGAGTAGCCTAGTGACTTGTCGTCGAAAAAGATGGATAAAACAAAATGCTGGGGGGCTAAAAATAGAAAAAGAAGGAGGGAAAATGAGATGGCATGTCAATTGATGTGACAGCAGCTAAATAAGTGCATGCTGAAAGCCAACAGGTAGGATTTAAAGTGTGACATCCAGGCATGTAGGCTATCTATATCTCTTTGGCCATCGGGACGTACCGGGAGATTCCCGGTGGGCCGACGTGCTTTTTCGTACTCTCAAACTTTTTTTTTTTTTTTTTTGTCTTAACGGCCCATAAAACTCGAACATCGGCGGCCCATTCGTTTTTTTGTGCTTAATTGGCGGCGCTGGGTTAGAGCCGGTGTAATGCATTGGGCAAAAAAAGTCAGCGTTAGTTTTTTTCTGACACACCGGCCCATGAAACATGTCATCATGTGCTTATATCTTTCAAGTATAGAAATTAGTACAAAACTAAATATGAAAGTTTTCTTTATTTTTCAGTGCATTTGTTTTACAATATATGGCTATTACTATCATGGGATTAATATTATAACTATTATTATGTAGTAGTGTAATGTAGACAGACACTAACTAAAAGAGGTTTGAATTTTTCTTTGTTTAATTTGCACCCTGAATATGGGTTGGAGCTTTTAATTTTGAACTCTCAAAGTGCACCAGACTGCTGAATTTAACATTAAAGAACAGAAAATTTTCTTACGGGGGGCATGCCCCCGAACCCCCCTAGAGAAACAGAGGTCCACCTACCACAGTTTTACCTAAAATCCTGTGAGAAACACTGGTATTGCTGTTCCAATGGAGCTTATGTTTTTTTTTAGGGGGGTTCATCACGGTGGAGTAGCTATAGTTTAATTGTATTAATAAATGACAATTTTGCACTTATTTTATCTGTTAGCTCTCACTCATTCCTACTCACGTATTACATGGCACACTTATTTATTTATTTGTTTATTTATTTGGGGGGGGGGGGGTGGGGGAGGGGGCGCAAAAATTGTTGCTGCATACCCCTCTGACACAAGGTAGTTGCGCCCCTGAGTAGCGCTACACTCTTAAAAAATAAAAGTTATTCGTTGGAATCGATGGTTTATGAAGAAACTTTAACATCCATGGAACCTTTCTATTAAAAAAAAGGGTAGTGGAAAAAAATATATATATATATTTTTAATGTTAATATAAGAAAAAAAGGTTGGAACTGGTAAGGTAAGAACTGTTGACTGAACAAAAATACTTCTTCTATCTGGCATTAGGCCTACTGAACGAAGCTTTATTTTTAAGTGAAAAATAAATTTATTTTACAGAAAAAAGCTTTATTTTTAAGAGTAGGCTAGCCTATAGGCCTACAAGATGTTATAATTTTAGAAATGTTTCAGATGCTTCAGAAATCATTCTAATATGCTGATTTGCTGATCAATAAACAATTATTATCAATGTGGAAAACAGTTTTGTAACGCCCATTTCACACATAGGCTACTCCATTTCACACATAGGCATACTCCATGCGGTGCGTATACGGTACAGGAGCAGCACGCGCTATAGTGCTTTCACATATGCTGCGTTTGTAGTCCGCAACTGATCCGCGGCTGTACCACAACATTTATTCACATTTTTTTATTTTAAATCACTATTTCTATTATCAGCATCTTTTATAAAATAATATTAAATTTTTTTCAGCATTTCGATTCTATTTGTACACAGTATAGGTCACTCTTTCACAGACATATTCAAGTTTAAACCCAATAGATTTAAAACACGTAGGCCTATTAATTCAATGCATTAATTTTAGTCTGTATAGGCTAGATATATTAAGTTGCTCGAGCAAGTAACAAAACATTTAAACATGTACTTATGTTAACATCGCAAACATTTTAAATTAAAACTTAAAATTGACAAAAACAAAAAACATACCTTTTCTTTTGCATAATTTAAATCTTTATACAATAAATCTTGCATGTCACAAAGAACTTGATTTTCCATCTCCACGAATGAGACGAGTGTCGTT